ACAATTAAGAAGTGATGGGAGCATGTTACTGGAACTACTCTGCAAACCTTTCATTTGCCAACATGCAAGAGGACATTTAAAATATTTTAACAGGGACAAAGGAGATAATGTTCCCCTTTTCCAAAACAGAAATATCCCAAAGTCCAATGTTTCTGGGCCCAAGTTTGGATAGAAGGGCAGTGATTATCGGGTCGAATTTCTCTTGCCCATTAGCTAAAACCATGTCAAAAACCTGCAGCATCGAGCACAGCAACAAACTACACCAACTTTAAATACACGCATGATCAATATCTGTTGAGATCTTAACCTGTCGTTAACTGGGTGATATGTGAGATGAAACTGATACTGATACTGCCTGAATTTCAACATAAATCAAATCAAAGAGAACTCTATAAGTCCAAGGCAACAATTTCAAATGTATTTTTTGCTGTTTCCTATAATAGAGTAATCAGGAAAACCGTCATATATTTAAATGTGTGAATTTGTATGTCGGAACCAGTCAATGTTTGGTTAAATTAATAATCAATCATAAAGAAAAGTTGTCGAAATTATTTCCGTTAGAAGACTCAAATTAATTGTCTTGTTTCAGCCCTACAATCCAATATGGCTGCTGTATATACTGTATAAATCCTCCATCACCTTGGGACCAGAGGTCGCATTAACCGAATATTTTCCGTCTATGACGGAAAAATCTGAAAGCAGTCTGTCATTTTGACAGATTAGAACAAACTCAGAACAGCGCCAAAGCTTCCCCGCAGCGAGGCTCCAGTGTTATGCCGTGTTATGCATGCCCGCCAAAAAGGAAATGATACCGTCTCCAAACCTAACTTTGCCGTGCAAATCAACTCGTCAGAGTTGTGTAAAGGCCGACGGGCAATACTGGATTTTGACGGAAATGTTACGATCCTGTCCGACGGGCAGCGAAAAAGTCAAGCGCAACCTCTGCTTGGGACATATGCTTTTTTTTTTTTTTAAGTCCTCAACACTGTGGACCTCAACAAAGCAAACCATATATATTTTTAAAACATCATTATAGAAGCATTACATAATGTTAGATGCACTTGGCCAGTGATTCTCGTCACATGGACATTGACTGGTTCACCGCAATTTCTAAATTGCACTAGCAATGTTGATTCTGCACAGGTAATTTATGCTATCAAAGAAACGGTCCATTATTGTCAAAAGGCTACAAGGGTTAGCCATGTTGCTAACCTTTGTGCACTCCTGCAGGCTGTAACTGCTACAGAATACTGAAACCTTGTTTCATGTTGCACTGTTGGAGGAGCCTGGGACTGAGGTTTCTCATTGCCATATGTACACTGTAGCTACTGTGCACGGGACAATAAAGCCTTGAATCTTGGTTTGGACTAAACATCATTCAATGGTCTATGTGTGCAGCATATTCAACACCAAGTGTTGTATCTTACTATCAAACACCAGTGTTTTCAATTACACAATCTCTCACATAAAGGAAGTAGAACAAAGGTTTTAATTAATTTCTGAATAAAACCAACTCAAATTCCTCAATAAATAAACAGTTAACACAGAAACAAATCTGACATGACTTACCTAATGAGTTTATAATAGTCTATTGGACTAAAAGTCCAATGTTTCCCTGAGGGCCAAACCCCTGGGTGTTGGCCCAGGAAGTCAGACAATTAGGGATGTCCCGATCCGATCACGTGATCGGGGATCGGAGCCGATCACGTGATTTTCACGTGATCGGGGATCGGGAGAAAAAAATCGGGGATCGGAATTTTTTTTTTTTTTTTTATAAAATATTTTTATACATTTTATTTAATGTTACAAAACAAAAATGACCATGTTCACGTCTTAAAGTCATCCTGAGGCCTTAGTTTTGGGTTAAAATTACACAACATCATGTATGTGTTGCTTCTTTTGGGCTTGTTTTCATAGACCTGGTTGCTTATTTCTCTCAAATCTGGCAACAGAGTGGGCGCAGTGTCTAATAGTAGCAGTAAGCTAACAAGAGGCTACGTTCAGCTGGTGACTCGGGAGTCGGGACAGAGAAAATGTCAGGAGTTTGGAAGTATTATAAAATTGAAAGCGAAGGCAGTGTAACAGCCAGATGCAATGTTTGCAAGGCGGAGGTTCCGCGTGGTGGAAAGAACAGAGCTACGTTCAACATGACCAATCTAATACAAACACCACCAACAACAACACGACGAGTACACAGCGGCCACTCAGGTAACGGCACTGAAACAACCGACACTTTCAGAGACTTTTAAAAGGAAAGAGAAACTACCCCAGAACAGTGAAAAGGCCAAAAAAATAACAGCCAAGATAGCTGAATTCATCGCGTTGGATGACCAGCCGTTATCTGTTACCTTTTTTTTCCTCTTAATGCATTGCATAAAGATCGGATCGGGAAAAATCGGTATCGGCAGATTGTCAAAATCAAATGATCGGAATCGGATCGGGAGCAAAAAAAGGTGATCGGGACATCCCTACAGACAATAGAATCACAACAATAATATAGACTGTGCTTCCTCTCCGGTATTAAACAGTAGGCTTAATTACGAGATTTTACTTTGAAGACAAGTGAACTGGAAACATGAGCACACTTTAAAATGATTCCTAGAAAGCCTGTGTTTATACTTTTCCCTTTAGTGCTTTTCATCAATCTGTATTGTTTTGCTCTGAGTTGCAGACTTCAAATACAAATAGTTCTGAATAAAACTTCTCATAACAAAGCCTGTTGATTGTCTTGAGTAATGGGGTTATGATTTTTGGAAATTGCTGTTGAGTTTTTCAAGTTTGTCCTTTTTGGAAGTTGGCGCACAACAGGCCAAACACCATGTAGTTCCATTATATTGAAATAAGAGAAGACATCTTTACAGACAATATTTCTAACACTGAGCAACTCACAACTGAACTGAGTCAATATTGATTAATAGCAGGTAAAAGGGAAAAAAATGCATCCTGGATTTTGGTGTGAACTGTTTATTTGAATGATGGTTGCACGAAAACAATTAAATTAACTAAATCAGATCAGAGGATGCTGCAGAGATTTGGCTTTTGTCATATTTGACCTTCACAGGTGACTGCATATCATCTTTGTATAGACTGGAACAGTCCCAGCAGTATCACAAGTAACATAACGCCAACCACAGAGTTAAGCTTATTACATTACAACGGGGTTCTCCACTCCATCCAAAATGAAGGTGACATTACTGGAAGGAAACGTACATCTCTTATCCTCTATAATCTGGGTGTTGGTTAAACACACTATGGAAATGCATTTTAAATGTGCAGTGTTAAAGGAAATAGACTTGTGACACATTATCATACAGTTTGTGGTTGTGACAACACGTCATACTCAAGATATTTCCATGAATTGTGATCATGAGGTGTTGTCGTGTTTCACATTTTTCAGACAGATACTATACTCTATTCATCACACTAACTTATCACTATAGCAGATAATACGTTATACAGGAGCTTTGACAGAAACGATCTGGATAGAATTAGAAATATGAACACCTAATGAATAACTTGTCATGGTTTAGGTGTATTTCATTATTCAAAGTCAAGACACATACGTTTTTGCAACAGATTATTCTAGTTAAGGACTACCGGCTGGTTCCTTATGCCATGATTTACTTCACTGTGCTGCAGTCAGATTTAAACAGGGTAGGAAGTGAGAAATGAAAGGGAGAACACAGAACTAAACAAGACATTTGGCGTTGGCTTCGACTTAAGATACACAGTAATTAAGGAAGTCCTGTGCTTTGTTGACATCCTGTGAATTGGTCCTCTCAAGTGTGGCTCCAACATGCTTTTCATGTGGCTCTCATGTCTACTGTAAAGCAGACAAGCCTGAACAGGTCACAAGCTAAGCTATAAGAGTAACATACACTCAGCTGCTGCAGGGGGTTCTAACATGTGTTGCTTATGGGTTGTTGGCTACATGCAGCTTGTGTGAATGACAACATTGTTCCATGTGTGGTGGACGGTGGGTGATAAAAGCTGATTTATTGATGTGGTTTTTAACTGTTAGATCATGTGATGAGTGCTGGAGACAATCACAGTGAAGTTATGGGTGTAATGATGATTGTCAATGTTTTACTATGTGAAGCTGTGAACTTATTATAACCTTGCCCTACAATATCACCAAATAATGGATACTGGTTTCTCCTCTGTGCAGTATTCTCTTCTTCCTTCTCTACTCCATACTATCCACAATGCTATCAATCATCTGTCTCCCTCTTTCTCCCTTTTGCTCCTACTCCTACAGTAGGTGTCTGCAGTCCCCTGAGAGGGGCAATCTGCCTTTCGATGTATATAAGGGGTTGGGCACAGGGAACAAAGGGAGAGGAGAGGTAAGAAGAGAGAGGAGGGTTAACGCACAGGAATGCAAGGGGTCGCTGGGAGGGGGGCTATCAAAACATCACACCGTTCACAGTGAGCTCATTCTTCATTTAACTTCAGAATCAGAATCAGAAACGGGTTTATTGCCAGGTAGGTTCACACATACGAGGAATTTGACTTGATGTCATGGTGCATACATAACATATAAAACAAAACATCTTTAAGGACACTGTAATACAATATAGTTAAATAGCAATAAAGCAGTAATTTACAGCGAAATGGAATGCAATGAGTTATAGAATATAAAACATGAAATATTAAATAAGTAAATGTGCAGTAAGCAGTATTTGAACATTGTGTGCATTAATGTAATGCACATGCTGTTCCACACAGCAGTTTAACACACACAGGTGTACCGGTAATGCTTTTTGTGGCCACATGATTGTTAGAACACTTATTTAAAGCCTGAATGCTGCATTAAAAGTGCATTCAGTACCACCGCACTGTTAACCACTTACTTCATCACTGTCAGTAGGTAGCTGTGTGGTGATTCTTATATGTTCATATAGCAACTTATTCTAGTGAAAACGACACTTCAGGCGAATAATCTTTCCATACTGTTAGTGTGGTTATTTCGGTCAGGAAGCGGAGTGTATGTGGGGTCATACCTGGCTTGGTGATGGTCTGAAAGTAAAGCACTAGAACGAAGAGCGAGCCGAGGCACGTCGCCATGAGCAGGCGTCCTCCTCTGGGCATCCTCATCCTGAAGCCGGGCTCAGCTAGCGGAGCCCCCGACCCCTCGTCGCTGCCACGAAACGTTTCATACGAGACCACCCGGCGGAGGATGCGAGACTCCCCCAGGAATAAGTACCTTATTCATCAATTATGGGCGACGAAAAAAACCAGGAGTCCATCCAGGGGTAACGTTAGCTGGACCTATTGAACGACCCAGCAATTAGCCTTTCATTGAAACGTGAGTGGGACGTAAATCCAGAACCGCCCGCTATGGTCTTTTTTTTTGGTAACGCTAACTTAATAATGATGACCAATTAAGCAAGGTCACCTAAGATAAATCATGTCGTGATGGTAAGTTCATATAAAAAAAACCAAAGCAAAAGTAAAAGGTATGGAGACAAATGTTGCTGCTCCTTAGCCCAAGTCGTTGGTGGTGACAAGAGTTTGTCGAAACTACACAAACTTTTTCTTCGCCAAACATGGACGGGGCACCGTGCCATGACGTCACGCCCCCTCCTCTCCCCGATTGCATGCTGCCTTCGAGGAGTGTCGGAAATGTTACAGGTGGTCTGAGAAAGTCGTATATTTCATTTGATTTATTCTCAGCTGTCCGATGTTGTCGTCGTTGATGTATAACATGTATGCAAGATGGAAATATGAAGGTTATTTTCAACGATAAAAATGTACCATGCCTCTACTGTTTAAGTCTTCGGCTTACCAGTATAGTTATTGAAATCAGAATGTTTGACACACGAGGAGCACATGAAGGCAGCATTGCAGTCGCTCAGAGAGAGATTTCAACATGAATTGAGTACAGCATGTCCTATCATACAATAACTGACTGCTAAATTACGCTGCCTGGTAGTAAGTCATTTTATAAAATAAATAGATGAAAAAGCATGTAAAATAAACTGCAGCCAAATTAAATTCTCAGACATAAATCAACATTTAACAAAATAGGCAGAAAATAAACAAAGACAACTCACACAGTTAAACGTATTCTACCTGCTGGTAACTCAAATATGTCGTTTTATTTTTTGATGCAAACATGAAAGCTGCAGGGAACAGTGTTGTACTTCTGTTGTGTCACTGTTAGTAACTTAATTTGGCATCAGTACTGACCCAGTTTCTTTTTGATTTGTGTAACATCATGCATTATAAGATAATAAGCCTACTCACAAAAACGACATACCTGGGCATACTTCAATTTATGAATCAATCTATACTGTTTATTTAATAATCATATTACATTATGCAAAGTACATTTACATTCACTTGTAAATGTTATATGTACAGTAACATATGCCAGACTAAACTGCGTTTTGGCCTTTTTTTCTTCTAAATTCTTAAACACCACCTTTTAGACATTATACAATTCCACTCTACCAGACTTACAGATAAATTGCATTTTCCCCCCAGAATCTCCTTCTGAAGAGCACATGTCTCCACATGGCAGCTCTCAGAGAAGTTAATGCAGCATTGAAGTTTCAATGCAAAACATTCAATCACATCTTATTGCGACAGGGGTAGGTTTTTGATGAATAGTTGCACATTACCATTGAAGGAGGAAGACAAATATTTCAAAATAACAGATGACTGAAAGCACAATTAAGAAAGAAATAGTCCAATAATGTAAAATATATACGAGCATTGGATTTTGTAGATTGTCTATCCTTGTTGCTTATCCATCTATAAACTGTCCAAACATTCTTTGTAACGCCACACGCCATATGCTCAGGGCATTACATCATGTCATGGTTTTATTTACGGCATACAGCATATGTCTAACAGATACATAACTGGCATGCTTCACATAAAGAATAGCAGCACCAAAAACATAAACATTGTTAGTGCTTTGACTCTCGCACGCTTAAATGCTGAATGTGTTAACCATTAAATGCAAATTTCACAACAGCTGTATGTATATTAAATGCGCATTTGGTAAATAATGATGGAGAAATATGCAGTAAGTCCCACATAGCAATTATAGAAAATGGACATTTCAAAAATCGAAACAGTGTCAGCTTGTGGTGGCTGAAGATGATTGATTTTAATTTAAAGCTTCCCTGTTGAGGTATTTTCATTAGACATAATGATGGACCAATGAGCAAAGCCATGACAGTGTGATGCAATGTGCTTCCTTCAAAAATGGTCCAAGCTGCGTAGTGCTGATTAAGGATTGAACTGAATCAAAGTCTGAATACACGGCAGGAACTTAGCCACAGAGTGCTGTTATATCTACAAATGCTGTTATTACACACATGCCCATCATTATCCCTCACCTTGCAACGCCTCCTGGATTTCTTGCAGACACTTAGACGTGAGAATGAGAGAGGCTTGGTTCGGGATGACTTGGCAAATTATGTGGTTGCTTGGGCCAATGTTAGCTCTTACCACACAACTCTCACCAGCAGATGTTTACTGACCACCCACGGGGTCCTGACATACTCCTTACTTGTGTCTAACAGATCACCATAGACTAGGTGGAGGATCATCATTAGTCCAAGGAAAAGTACTGGGGGCAATGACTGCTGATTGGATGTAACATTTGTTTTGCCTTAGCTATGTCTTTTGACTTTAGAAGGAAATAATTCCTGGGTGTATTTTCACTTTGGTGTTATAATCTCTGGCATGAGAATGTTTTGTAGTCAGCTAAATATTTGTTTCTATAGGTTTCACCATGTTGTCAGTTTCCTGGATTCTATCGATGCCAACTGTGTTGTTAGCATTTTTATCCTGCCTGTGCTAGCAGAGATCTAATAACATTTGATTGTATTTGTCACTACCCGATCTGCATCCCTGCCCTATCTGCAGTGCGCATGTGCGAGATGGTCCGCCATATTGGACAACTCCGTACGGCAACCCAACTAGGACACTTGACACAGTGGCGTTTGGCAAAGCACAAAAAGAAACCTCAAAAAACCGAGAGAGATGAGTTATTGTTATTACAACGTGACTTCAACTCTTTTTATTGAATAAGTGAGAAATGGATTTAACTTCTGTTAGACAGCTATATGCCATACATTTTTGCATACATTCACAGTAAATATTTATTCAGTATGATAGCTGTCTAACAGAAGTTAAATCAATTTCTCACTTATTCTGACAATGTATTTAACCCCAAATAAAAGATCTCTCTCGGTTTTTTGAGGTTTCTTTTTGTGCTTTGCCAAACGCCACTGTGTCAAGTGTCCTAGTTGGGTTGCCGTACGGAGTTGTCCAATATGGCGGACCATCTCGCACATGCGCACTGCAGATAGGGCAGGGATGCAGATCGGGTAGTGACAGTATTTATTATTGGTTAATTAAGTTCTTGAAATGTTATATTTTGAGTATACATAAATAGTGTGCTTCACAGTATGAACTTCCTGAGATACAAGAATATTTTTAGACTTGATCTGACATAAAGTCGAATCATATCATGTCGAATGTTTGAACCCCTGCTGATTACACACTGGTTGGGAATGATGTGAACTCAACTCATGTCTTTAAAATGATTAGTATTTTTAGTAGTTTTGGCTTTCCCTTTAAAAGCAACACAAATATGGACACAGATATCGAGCTAGACCAGGGAGTTAATTAGTATAGCTTAGCATAACGAGGGAGTCTTGGCAAAATAAAATGTTGATTTCTACGTTTTTTAGGGTGTTGCTAGGCAGACTTTCAACTGCAAAAAGAGCCATGCTACTAGAGCGTTTTCTCCAATCTTTATGCTAAGAAACTTGATGAACTGTCACCAGTGCTGTGAAAAAGAACAATTAATGTGAATCATTTCGAATGATAACAAGAGTGCATTGATGTTGGCAGGCTATTAGGATTCAGGCTAGCAAGATCTATTTTTGGTTTTCAAAGGAAGACAAGACAAAAAAAAACAACCTTTTACAACAACTGCTGTTGTGTATGCTACCATAATGGTCCCAAAAACTGCCTGTAATCTGCCACTCTTCTGCAACATACCCTTTTAGAGGATAGTAATCTGCAAAACATACAGTAGTGGAGAACATGTTAAAAACTATAATGGCTGTCCAGAAAAGGCACAAAGCGTTCTCGGCTTGCAATTATTGTGTACAAATGTACAAAGATGCTAGTGATTACTCTTTTTTTTCAGTATTGATGTGAAAAATATATACCCATCTGAAAATATTCTGTTTTGACAAGCCCTGACTGAAAGTACATTCATCCGGGCTGGAATCACAGTCCTTAGAATATATTTAGTTTGTGCCTGATGGAGTTTCATGAAAGTAAACATATGCCGTTTTCCTTCTAACATGTGCTTTTAAGACCTGCAGTTAGCGGTTAGCTTCATTACCATCCTTTGATCTCATATGGTTTTCTGTTTGTGGTGCTGGGATGGGCTGAGACTAGGAGACATCCCCTGTAAAACTGAAACACAATAATAGGGTGCTAAAATATGCTGACATAAAGAGATATTTCCCTAAAAATGACCTCAAGTCAGTTTTTAAAGTGTTAAACTGGTCAATCATAAGCATGCAGTGCCAGCCTGTAGTGCACCAACTGTTTAACATCAGATTATAGACAACCATGTCAAACAAATGAACCAGGTCATATTGGCAAAAAGAACTAACAATTTGTCATGATACAGTGCACCATCTGCTGACCATACTTCTCCAGGAACATCCATGCTTTTATTTAAAGTTCACAAAGAAAGTCCAAATCAGGTTTTTCTATGACCTTTAATCACATCTTCAGTGTCTCGTATGTTATATAAACAGCAACTGAAAATGACCCTCCCTCAATTAATCCTTCAACCCCCGGACCTAAAGTGAGAACAAGAAAAAAGTCCCACAAAAACCTCATGGCTTGTTTTTACTTTAATTTTCGCTGCATAATGAGTATGCGCCTGTAAAAAGCATGGAACCCACTCATCAAGGCAACATCAATGCAACCATAAGATGTCTATGTAAACATGTTACATGTAAGGGAGCTCTGCTGCACATGTATGACCCGGGTTTAAAACAACCAGAGCCTTTGTTGTATGTCATCTGCATGCCTGTACTTAAATCGGTCTAATTAGGGTAAAATCCTACCAAAAACCTCTACAACCATGTCAGTATAGCAGGTCTATGTTTAAAAGTAACATAATCATACATGATCAGGTTTTTAATTACAAGTGCAGCAGGTTGGCTATTCACATGATGACACTTCCACTTTGTGAAGGACTCTTCATAAGAGCTGGCCTTATGTACTAAGAGCATTCTCAAGCTAATTAGTTCCCAATCATTTTTTATGTAAACATTTTTTTTGAAGCAATGTACAGCAGTTCAATAGAGAGATTTTTCTTGCAGTGTAAACTGTTCGATTTGTTCCTAACCGAGCTGTGCATCTGCCAATATCGAGTAGTATCAATGTCATAACAGTGCTCTCCTTTTCTACAATTTGAAATATTTTAAAAATGCATCTTTACCATATCCTGACCTTAGTACAGACAGTTCATTTAAG